GGGGGATGGCCACGCCGCAATCCCTTCTCCTCCATTCTCCTCTCGGGATCTTGGGCATGCACGCACATGTGCCCGGCATAAGTTTTAAGCCAACAGGTCCAGGACGCGAACCACAGTCAACTACATGGGAGTCCAGCGACATAGCCATTACGCTAACTGCTGGTTCCCCTCTTTTTTCAAACTTTTCACCATGAAATTTCTCCTCCCCACCTTTTAAGACAGGTCTGGTGTCGCACTCCTACTGCTCAGCCTTCTGGCTGCAATCACGGACATGCCTGGCTGGCTTCCAGGCAGGGTCTGGCTGTGCTGCCCAGGCTGGCCTCGAGTGCGTGGTCCTCCTGCTTCCATCTCCCAGGCCCTGGGCTTACAGGTGCACACCATGCCAGCTGGTAGGTGAGACTGGGAATCAAACCCAGGCCTCCTGTGTGACCCTCGCCCAGAGACGTGTCCTAGTGGTGTGCGCCCCAGCAACCAGGCCCTCATGGACATTTGTTAACATTCAGAGGAGTTGAAAACCAATACAACGGTCACAGTATGTCCAAGGACTGGACTGAATAACTTTTTTTTTTTTAAAGGATTTTTCTAAAGAGCACGTGCACCTGCCAGAGACAAAAAGCAAGCAAGAAATCACCCCTCGGGGGTAAGGCCACACCACGATCCCTTTTTCTCCAGTCTCCTCTTGGGATTTTGGGCGCACACACATGCACGTGCCCAGCGTGAGTTTCAAGTTGCCGGGTCTGGGGCTCAGTCCACAGTCAGCCATATGCGAGTTCAGTGACAGAACCACTACACCATCTGCTGGTCCCTAGACTGAACAATTATAAACACTTGCTGATCCTGTGTTTCTCGAGGTGTAGACACATGGACACATTTGTACAGAGGTGTACACACGTGGACACAGTCATATGTATTTTGCTGCATCATTTTTTTTTTTAAAGTTTGCCATAGGGTGTGTGCATATGCTGGAGAGAAGAGAAGTGAGAAAGCACCCCCAGGGGGATAGCCATACTGCAGTTCCTTCTCCTCTTGAAACTTTGGGCATGCAGCACCTGCACCCAGCATGGTTTCCAACCTGTCAGGTCTGGGACTGGCATGGAACTCGAACCACATGGTTGGCCATGAGGAGTTCCAGCCACCTTAATCACACCACCGGTAGGGTCTTTTTTTTTTTTTTTTGCTATAGGGCATGTGTGCGAGAGAGACAGAGACAGAAAGCGAGAAATCACCCCCCAGGGGGGATGGCCACACTGCAATCCCTTCTCCTCCATTCTTCTCTCAGGATCTTGGGCACGCACACACACACACCCGGCGTGAGTTTAAGCCACTGGGTCCAGGATGCGAACTGAGGTCAACTACATGAGAGTCCAGCAACATAGCCATTACGCCAACTGCTGGTCTCTGGGTCTTTTTTTTTTTTCTTTTTTTGAGAGGTTTTTGCTATAGGGCACGTGCACTCACCAGACAGAGACAGAGAGACAGAAAGCGAGAAATCACCCCCTCCAGGGGGGATGGCCACGCAGCAGTCCCTTCTCCATTCTCCTCTCGGGATCTTGGGCATGCACACACACATGCCTGGAGTGAGTTTAAGCCACCGGGTCCGGGACTCGAACCGCAGTCGACTACGTGGGAGCCCAGCAACATAGCCATTACGCTAACTGCTGGTCCCTGGGTCTGTTCCTTTTAATGGCAGCCATCCTAGTGAATAGGAGGTGGGATCTCATTGTAGTTTAATTTACATCTTAATTTCTTTTTTTTTAAAGAATTATTTTATTTTATTCCATTTGTGATTACTTTAATTTGACCAGAGAGAGACAGAAAGATAGAGAAAGGGAAAGCGGGAAAGCAATCTGCCAGGTCCAGGACTTGAACCACAGTCAGCCATGTGGAATCCAGTGCCCTTATCCACACGCTACCAGCCGTCCCCAAATTTCCATCTCAATGTCATAATGGCATTAGGGCTGATCTGTTGGTGACAAACTTTTTTTTTTGGTCTTACCTGAAAATATCACTTTATCCTCTCTTTTTGAACATTAGGTTGGCAACTACTCTCCCTTAGCACTTCAAAGATGCCATTCCATTTGTCTAATCAACCTTGTTTCTGTTTTTAAAAATTGGCTGCCAGTTATATAGTGTCTCTGAAGGTACAGTGTCTATTTTTCCACTAGTTTTAAGATTTCCAGGCCAGGGACCAGCAGTTAGCTTAATGGCTATGCCACTGAACTCCCATGTAGCCGACCGTGGTTCAAGTCCCGGACCCAGTGGCTTAAACTCACGCCGGGTGCGTGTGTGTGCGTGCCAGATCCTGAGAGGAGAAAGGAGGAGAAGGGATTGCGGTGTGGCCATCCCCCCTGGGGGGGTGATTTCTTGCTTTCTCTCTCTCTCTGTCTTTGTGGCGAGCAATGTGCCCTATAGCAAAAAAAAAAAAAAAAAATTCCAGGTCAGCCAGTGGTGTGGTGGTCAAGATGGCTGGCTGGCTCTCACATGGCCAACTGTGCAGTTCAAGCCCCAGACCAGGTGGTTTAAAAACAAACAAACAAAAAACCGACTTCCTTTTCCTTTGATTTTCAGACTTTGTGGCCGCGTCTATGCATGTTATTTTTCATTGCTCCTGCGTGGGCTCAGAGATCTGACATCGGTGCCTGATGTCCTGTCAGTTTCAGGAAGTCCTCAGACACCATGTATGCCAGCGCTGTCACCGCTCTGCACTTCACCGCGGAAGCTTTCTACTGACCACCTTTGTCTACCTTGGTATTAGGTCCACCTGCTCACTTGTCGTTTTGCTTCCAGGACTTGGAACGTTGTTGGTAGGTCCTTCTGTGGCACTCTTTCTCACCCACATTGTGTCTGAATGGACTGATCAGAGAGGCCATGCCTGAGGGCTGTTTCAGACCACCCGTGAGCCTCTGATTCTCTGTGGTTCTATTTTTTTAAGTGCCTGACAGTTTTTACGGAGTCAAAGTGTATATAAGTAGTTACAGAAACTCTGCCTTCTCAGTGAAAGACAATCTTGTTTGCTCTGGCGGAAGGTGGCACAGGGCAGGTCACCTGAGGCCCTCAAGGCTGAGGCTGTCCGAGTTCTGTCCCAGGCTGTGCAATGCCTGGTTAGGACCCAGCCTGGCCTGCTCAGGGTGGACATCTGCTCATCCGCTCGGCTTCTCAGCCTCTGCCCTGTGTCTGACAGCACCTGCCTCGGGAACTTCCACACAGGACACTGGGCCTTCTTTGATGCTCCCTTTTCTCCAAGATCTTGGCTCCTGGAGTCCAATGTGACAGCTTGAACGCCCCAGCCTAGTGACACCACTGCCAGCTGTGGCCGATATCTGTCAGGCCTCATGACTAGGATACCAGCACAGTCCTGTCAGGAAAACACATGTGACTATCAGACCTGCCTTCTTCCAAGTCTCTTCTTCCTAGGATTCTGCTTCTCAAATCCTGGCTGCCTTGATTACTCTCTGAGGTCTCCAAAAAAGCTCTTTACGAAATGTACTTTATATATCCTGGATAGCTTTTGGGGGAATACTGACCGGCTCCTGCTCCTTAGTCAGAAGTGAAGGGGAGGGAACTGTAGCTTCAGATAGTTTGATACCGCTACATAGCAGCTGGTAATCTACTCACTGAGAAGAGACCATTATGGAGCTCATACAGAGGGCCTTCCTTATCTGAGGCCTCAGAGATGAAGGGATCTCACCCCGATATCTGGGGCAGAGACAGTTCAGTGCTCATCTGAAAGGAGAGTTAAGTGGGATCAGCTGAGAGCAAGCTTACCCTCTCCATGTGCCCACACCCCGCCCCAAGCACATGTTCCTGTAAGTAACAAGCCCTGGGCCGCCTGCTGCCTTCCTGCAGGACAGTCAGCACCTGGAGGCGGGGATGGCGGTGTCACTGCCTCAGCATCTGACACCCACCCACCAGTGTGGGAGATGAGACAACTTGAGAGGGGCCATATTTTCTGTTGACTAAAATAAGCCCACTAGAAAAACTTAGATTATCTTGTGTGTGTGTATCTTAAACTTTTGGGACCAGCAGTTGGCATAATGGCTATGTCGCTGGACTCCCATGTAGTTGACCATGGTTCCAGTCCTGGACCTGGTGGCTTAAACTCATGCCAGGCGCGTGTGCGTGCGTGCCCAAGATCCAAGAAGAGAATGGAGGAGAAGGGACTGCAGTGTGGCCATCCCCCCCCCGGGGGGGGGGGATTTCTTGCTTTTTGTCCCTTCTGGTGAACGTACACGCCCTGTAGCAAAAACCTCTCAAAAAAAAAAAAAAAAAACCAAAAAACTTTTTTCACCTTATTTTTGCTAAGGAGGGAGGAAGGGAGGGAGAGTAAGCATTTATTGGGGGAGATGGCTATACCATAATCCCTTCTCCATTCTCCTCTGGACTCTGGGCACCTACACACACCTAGTGTATTTCTCAAGCTGCAGGGGCTGGGACTTGAACCAGTCAGTCAGCCATGTGGAAGCTGGTCACTTTCACCACCGCACCACTGCCTGGCCTTCCCAGGTCTTTCCTGCAACTTCCTTTATACACTGTGATTCGGAGCGCCCCGACTAGAACACAGCAGCATGAGGCTGACGGCTTTTACAAATCAAACAGAGGGCCAGGTCGGCTCAGTGCTTGTTCTGAGAACGATCAACAGTGGGTACTTTTAGACCTGTAGCATCTGCTCTACAAATACTCGATTCTGCTGCTGCAACTCGAATGCGGTCACAGACAACACATAACAAACAGCTGTGACTGGGTTAGGGAAACTTCACTGAGAAAAAGAGGCAGACTGGCTGCCTCAACTGGCAGGCCAGGGCCTGCTACCACTGCTCAGCGCCGGCTCTGTCCGTACACATCAGTGCTGTGTCCTGGGAGCTCGCCAGCCCCTAGAGAAGGGGCACTCGGTCACTGCTGGACAGAGGGCCGGACACAATCCTGCCAGTTGGCCATCCTGGCTTATTTGAGAAGGGAAAACTCAGAAGCTCAGTACTCCGGGGTTTGAAGGGTGCTGCCACTCATCTGCAAGCCCGGGGAGAGCACCCTTCCAGCTGGCCACGGGCAGAGCTGTGCAAAGCTGCCACTCCCTTCCAGCCCATCCACAGCCTCCCGGGCCAGGAGAGCTCCGGACACAGCTGCTGGTTGGGAGAGCCCGGTGTGCAGGAAACCCAGTTCTTCCGCAGCCCGACAAGCACTGTCCCTATCAGGTGACCCTGCTCTCCATAAACAGCATGGTCAAGGGAAGGAGGGCAGTCACTGGGGAATGTGCCCACAGGGAAGGGCTTGCAGAGGCTTCAACCAAGGCAACCCCTTCGGGTGCCCTTGGGGCTTCAGATGGTTCAGTTTGAGTTCAATTTGATTGGAGTAAAGGATGCCTGGAAGGCTGCTGAAACAGTGTTCCTAAGTGCCTGTGTGTCACCAGACAAGGATGGCATTCAAGTCAGCGTGCTGAGAGAGACCACACAGGCGCACCACCCAACCAGCTGAGAGCATGGAAAGACCGGCAGGGGAAGTAGGGTTCTGTGTGCTCCTCTCCTCCCTCTCAACCTCTCTTGCCAGAGTCTGCTGTGTGCTCCGACCTCTGACTGCTATCATCCTAACCCTCTGCCTGTTCCACCCTGGCTGCTCCTCTCGGCTCTTGGCTGTTTGTTCCTTCCCACTCCTGGCCCGTGTCCCTCCAGCCAGGCCGACTCCAAGTTCTTTAACCTTTGGACTCATACCAGTGGCTGCCCAAGAGTGCTTAGGCCTTCAGTCTTCCAGAGCCTCAGACCGAAACAGCACCAGCTTCGTGCCTCAGTCTTTCAGCTGTTTCCCCAAGCCTGGTGAGGAACTTGCCCACCTCACGAGAAATCGCTCCTACAATAAATCTCATCTTTTACATGTTTGTTTATCTTGTTGGTTCTATTTCTCTGGAGAACCCTGACCAACACAGAGCTCTTCCACTCAGCCCATCGTAGACCTGCACACTCACCGTTGTCATTGCCACCATCATCAGAAATGCTGCCCCAGGGACCAGCGGTTGGCGTAACGGCTGTGTGCTGGACTCCCATGTAGTCGAGTCTTGGACCCGGCGGCTTAAACTCACGCCAGGCACGTGTGCATGTGCCCAAGATCCTGAGAGGAGAATGGAGGAGAAGGGACTGCGGCATGGCCATCCCCCTGGGGGTGATTTCTGCTTTCTGTCTGTCTTTCTGGTGAGCGTGCATGCCCTATAGCGAAAAACGTCTCCAAAAAAAGAAAAAAGAAAGAAAGAAATGCTGCCCTAGGAGTCGTGTCTCACTTGCCCAAGGTCCTATCTGGGGTGAGGGTGAAATTTCACATGCTTCATGAGCAGGGTTTCTCATAATGGCCCACAAAGAGAATGCCTGCTTTGTTTTACTAAAAATAAAAAGCCAGTGCCCACCAGCACTAGAAAACTGCAAATAAAAGTTTAATTTCAGAAACTGAATTCACCATTTATAAATACACTAAAACATAGTCAATGCAAATTTAGATTAAGCATAGGTACAGTATTTTAACAGAATGACAACTTTTCTAAAAGGTCATAGGCAAATGAGTGATTTGTCTCCACCCAAAATATTTAATTGGTTTGAAATAAGAAAGTGAGCCTTTTTTTTTTTTTTTCAGATCTTAAAGTGAAAACTCTGAAGACATATTATTAAAAGAATCTAACAACTCATACTTCATTCCGATATCGGTCCTTGGGATCCTAAAATACTCCAGTGATGGCTGAATCATCCCTATCATAAAACAAAAACAAAAAAATAAAAACTAAGTGCCTAAGGCTATTGTTACAACTGTAATATAATAAACTTCTCCCTGTGAATAAGCCATCTCTTCTAGAAAGAATTCTATACCTAATTTGATCAAATCAGGAATCAGTGCACACATTCCAAAAGAGCTTCATCGTAAGAGAAGTCAAATCAGAGGTGTGGAGATTTCATCAACAGACCTTCTGCTGTAAACGTGTCATGTTATGCACTGGCTAAAAAGTAAGCATGAATTTACAAACTTAGATAACATTTCCAAGGAGCTTATGATAAACAGTTGGGATATCTCTGAGTTAACTGTAAAACCTGGATACAAAAACCTGAAAAGGGAAAGTTCTTGAGACCAGCCAGCCACAGAACTGACCCTCCACAATACAAGTTGTAAGTTCAGTTTTCTTACAAACCACGTCTCTGGCGTGGCAGTCACCTTTCAGAATGTTTTCTTTACTCCTCAACACAGTTTAGAGCCTGCAGTTAAAAACTGCTCAGTCAGGATGGCTTGACCTCCACCTTGTATTTACAGATTTCATTTGACAGCCACAAAAGCTGTTTTGCTGCAATTAAAGCAACGTGTAACTAAAATACAGTACCTGATTTGTGGTTTTTACATAATTGAATAAAAAGCCTACAGAATAAAACTGTTTACATCTTCTCTGCCATTCTAGTAAAACAAATTACTAACCCCAAACTTTTAAAAAAACTTTACAGTTATGAATTAAAACCCAGTCATCATATTTCATAATTGACGGACAGGCAGTTTCTAGTGGACTTAGAAAACACACCGCGAGACCTGGCCTGAAGGAGCAGGGATAAGGCACGTGTAGACATTACGGAGAGCTGGAGGTGGACCTGAGAGCGCCTGACCTGACGTTGTACACGGCCCAGTGGGAGCGAGTCGCCGCCCAGCACAGACGGCTGATGCCTCAGCACGAGCAGGCTCTCTCGTCTGGTGGCGCCATTCTGAGCTTCAATACTGAAAGTATATCAGGGGAAGATTCACTTTCAAAAAGATAAGTTTTTCAAAATGTTCCATCATGAGCCTGGACTGGCCAAAGCTACCATTCTCAGTGGGTGTGTTGAACAGCTGTTCTGAAGGGACGATACTTGGAGGACAGCCCAAAAACCGGACGGCTAAGGTGGACAGCCCTGGCCAGGATGACCTCTTTAGGTTCCAGTAGGTGAGCGGGTCACAGCTGTGCTCAAGCACCTCCTCCTCCAAGTATGCCAGCACCATGTCCTCAGGTAACTTTCCTCTCAGATCCTTCTTCTTCATCCTGGCCACGAGTGACCACAGGTTCTCCTCTCCAGCAGAGTCTTTCGACGGGGAACCTGCACCACCCCCGTCGGAGGCAGGGGTGTCATCTGAGGTAGAATTCAGTATTTCTAGTTCCCTGATTAAGTCTTGTTTGTACTGTTCTGCCTCCTCCTCTGTAAACAGGGAGGCTTTGTAACGAGGGTCCAACAGTGTAGCAAAGATGTACCTTGGGTCATGGAGGGTAGCAGACAATCGACTCACCATGGCTTCCTTCAAAGACTTCAGCATGGTGTCGATGCCCATCGTCTCCTCAAACAGCATCTCGACTTTCCTGTTGAGGATGTGGATCATTGGGATGACCTGGCTTAAGGTGGACACATGAGTGCCCATCTCTCGATTCGCAGCATCGAAGGGCTTCAGTGCATGACACACGGACTGCATCACCTCCCACTGGTCACAGCTGATCAGCTCTCTGAAGTTACACTCGATCGACAGCTCGTTAACTGCCCTTTTTTGTTCAATGAGTCGTTCAAGCATGTGAAATGATGTATTCCATTTGGATGGAACATCTTGAATAAGATGGTGCTGTGGCAATTCATATTCCTTCTGCAGCTCTGCTAGTTTCTCTTTTGCTTTGGGTGATCGATGCACCCGTTCACATATCTTCCGTGCGATACTAAGTAGATTCTGCACCATCCTCTGGCTCTTAATGGCCTCGTTCACAACCAGGTTGACCGTGTGCCGGAAGCACTGCACACTCGAGTGCTCCCCGTCATTCAGTGTCTTTCCTACACTGGGATTGTCAGTGACCGTAATACCAATCTGCAGGCCAATGGAGGTCACCCAGGCTTCCCACCAGCATTCCAGCTGCTTCTGAATGCTGTTGCCACTGTAGTCACAGTCAATCTGCGACACATCTAAAAGTGCTGAACAATGGTGGTCCTCACTACGTGGTCGGACCGATGACTCAAAGGTGACCCAGTGGGCTGTAAGGGTCAGGTACTCACGGGTCTGGTTACTCATCCACACTCCAGATGTGAAGTGGATCACGCCACTCTCAGCTTCCTTAAGATGGGACATAATGATCTGTTTCACATTATCATACATACCTGGGATAGCTGTCCTGGAGAAGTAAGAAGGGGAGGGTAGAGAGTACTGAGGTTTCAAGTATTCAAGCAGCCTGTTAAAGCCGACGTTGTCTACAAAGGAATATGGCTGGAGGTCAAGTGCAATCATTTCCGCTATGAGACTTGTGATTTTTTTGGCAACTGGGTGAGAATCGTAAAGCTTCTCACTGGTGTCACTGAAGGAGGAAGCTCCCGATACGTGTGAGCTCAGTGGCGCATGGACGTCTGGGGAAGAGGGCGGCACTGTCTCTGAGACCTCTGCCTGGAGCACGCTGCCGTGGAACCTCTGCAAGTGTCTGAGGAGGCAGCTGGTGCCCAGGTTGGTGGGCTTCTTGCCCCTGCTGATCGTGCGGCCACAGTGCAAGCACACGACTTTAGTGGAGTCTGCAGAGCAAATGGAAAAATGATTCCACAGCTTTGAGGTCTTTTTGCTATTCACAGGAAAGACAACTTGATTATTTTTTGTGACCATTGTTGGCAAATCAGTTAATTTAGAAGAGGAACTTTCTGCAGAAGCCAAAGTGGCATATGGGGAATTTGCCAAACTTGCACCTAGAAAGCCCTTCTGGTTCCCAACAACTTCTGGATGGCGCCTGTAAAGATGTCTCATCAAACAGCTTGTGCCCACATCGCCCTTCCTCCCTCGACTAATGACACAGCTGCAGTATCGGCACACTGCCTTGAGACTGTCCATCGGGGCCAATGAAAAGTGATGCCACACTTCTGACTTCAATCTTTTCATGACCTTTTTATTCTGCTGAAAAACAGCACCAGATTCGAACACCCGAGGACTCGTGCCTTCGCCCTGCTGCTTCTCGGGAGAGGACACCAGAGAGGCCTCCCCAACATCCTCGGAGGAGGAGAACACGGACACCTCTTCCAGTAGTGCATCTCCAGCATTCAAGTGTGACTGCAGGTCCTCAGTCAGCCTATCAGGGGAGGAGGAAGCCGAAGGGGACTCTTGGATCAGTTTTCCTGGGGACGACGGAACAGAGCTGAGACCCCCCTCCACGGGCAGCAGGGTCGGAGGCGTGGAGTACAGCGGGGGGATGCCTGTGCCCGCCCCGTTCTCCTGCAGCACGATGGAGCGGTGTGCTCGCCACATGTGCCTGATGAGGCAGCTCGTGCCCAGGTCCTTCCCGTTCTTCCCTCTGCTAAACTCGTTCATGCAGTGGATGCACACGGCTTTGGAGCTGTCCAACGGCGACAGGTAGAAGTGCTTCCAGACAGCGGATCTTCTTCTGGACCCGGAGGTGCTCTTTGGAAGGGGGAGGTTTTTCTCCACCACGTTTTCTGCAGTTTCATCATAATGGAGAGCAGAGAGGTGCGGAGATGATCCCACTAGGGCTTCATCCCTGCTGTATTTCTCAGAGATGGACATGTCAGAGGAGACGTCTTCCGAAGAAACTACAGAAACAGATTCTTCCGTTATTCGGTCGGGGGATGGGATCTTAGATGCCATTTTTTGGACGAGTCTAACGGGTGAGAGTATGGTGCTGAGGTCTCCCACATCTGCAGACTGTGGCGGAAGCAGGAGTGAAGGCGAAGGGAAGGAAGACACGGCCGACACGCTCCCATTCTCCTGGAGGAGCACAGCTGGGTGTGCACGCCTCACATGTCTCATGAGACAACTGGTGCTTAAGTCCTTTTCGTTTTTCCCTCTACTGAACTCTTTCATACAGTACATACATATTGCTTTAGTACTATCCCGAGGAGAGATAAAAAAGTGTTTCCAAGCTGGAGATTTCTTCCTGGAGCTTATGTTCCGGCTGGAGAGCAGGCTCTGCGTCACAGCCTCCATTGCTACGTCATACAGGGTGCTACTGTATCGAGAGAACAGGGACCCATAATCGTCCTCGCTCTCCGCAGCTAGGTACTTCCCAGGGGGCTTACAGCGATAGCTTGCTTCTCGGACTTCTGCACGTTCATCACCACTGTCTATCTGCTTCATGTCCTCTTGCTCACTTTTAAAGTCAATTCTTTCCAAACTGTGACTAGGAACTCGATCATCTTCTTCCTCATCTGTTTTAAACTTTATTTTATCAGAAACAAAATCACTATCCCCTTTGGGACAAGTTTCTTGGTTATTCTCCATGATTGATCATAACTATTCTGGCTGCTTCTGTTGCTAGTATCTTGGGCTAATACAAAAATTGATCCGAATGCTCATTTGTGCCTGAAAATGAAGATTATCTTCAGTTCTGCATAATAAATCTACCTCTTGGGATATTTCTATGAATATGGCTGATCATAAATGTGACTAAAAATAGAATATGTAACGCATGTGAGCACATCACCCTGCTTTCTAGGAGTTCTACTGTGAAACGCTTCATGGTGTGGACGCAGATTTATGCAGCCGAGACTTGCTTCTGGTCGTAAAGACAGGATCCCCGCCATCCTGATAGTACACACATGGTCCTTTTGCATTACCTATAAAAGATGAAACCAAATTAAACACAGAACTATATGATACATTCAACTCTACACTGTCAGAGACACATTAGCTTCAATATGCACAGAATAAAATTCCACAGTGGGAAATCAAATTAAAAAACGTGTTCTCTGACTTTTTGCAATCTACCCGTGCAAACACTACATGTAAGCAAAAAGTGAAAATATAAATACAAATTAAAATGGCCTATTGAGGAAACCAGGAGATGGCATAATGGTTACATCGCTAGACTCCCACGTAGTCAACTGTGGTTCAAGTCCTGGACCTGGTGGCTTAAAACTCAAGCCGGGAGCATGTGAGTGCATGCCCAAAATCCTGAGAGGAGAATGGAGAAGGGATTGCAGCGTTGCCGTTCCTCCCCCACAACCCCCGGGGGATCTCTCTTTCTATCTCTCTGTCTCTCTAGCAAGTGCCTGTGCCCTATGGGAAAAAAATCTCTCTCAAAAAAAGAAAGAAAAAACGGCCTATTGATAAAGGACTAGAGGAACATGACTAAAAGCCTACACTACTTATAAAAAGGTCCTTTTCATCACCCTTCAGATGGTTTAACTAGAGGTACTTGTAGCTGCTACAACCAGCAAAGCTGAATTCCTAGAAATAGATTCATACTAGCTGGCCCTAGAACTAATATGTACAATAGGAATTTTAGAACAACTCCAGATAATCTATGAAATAATTCCCAGAGCAAAAACAGAATGAGCATAACAAAGACAAAAAGTCTGGCTGTATAGTCTATGGGCTGAAAGAGCTGAGCCTGGATGGCTGACGGTGGCTCAAATCCTGCCCTCGGTGATTTGAAACGATCACCAGGAGCACACGCGTGTGCACTCAAAGCACCGACAGGATGGAGGAATGAAGGGATTGCAGCACAACCATGTCCTGCTAGGGGGTGCCTTCTCCCTCTCTCTGGCAAGTGTGCACATCCTCTGGCAATTACGGGGGAAAGACAACGATGATCTATACATCTAAGAAATCCTGCGAGAGTAAAACTAAGGCCCCTCCAGCCAGCATTCCTCTGTTCACTCATTCCTGACGGAGGCTGCAGCACAGGCCCTGGGACTTGACAGCACAGGGGCCAGCCATGGCACCTCAGGTCCGCAGGAGAGACAAGTCGCCAAGAAGCCACAGGTAAGTACATTGCACAGGCATAAAGAGCAGGGCAGGACTGGGGTAGGACCTAAGTCAGGGCATTTCTGAGCTGAAATCTGAAGGATGCGAAGATGTGTGAGGTAGGCATGAAGCAGTTTAATGGAAGAATAAATAAATACTTGGCAGTATGGCAGCATAAATGCCATGAAGAGACCCTCATATAATAAGGCCAGACTCCAGAGCACCTGTACCAACTGACTTTTAAGGTGTTACTGGGCACACAGAAAGAGAGAGAACCCTCCCAGAACACAGACAGCCAACTGCACTGACAGAGAGGGGGGCTGAGCCATGAGCAGCTCTATAAAAGCACTGTGAGAACGGTGCCACCTGGCCGGGTCAGACCAGTGCTAGGCCAACACCCAGCGCAGAGCCAGGCCTGTGCTCCTAAACCGTGCAGAAGCCCAGGCAGGGAGGCAGCCATAGGCTCTATTTTCCAGGCCTGGACATCTGTGAGAGTGAAAGCAATAGCTGGAGTCGCTGGGCCAGCTGCCATGGAGTAGCAGTAGCGCAATGCTCTACAATGCTGGAAGACACAGGGAGGATCAGAGTCTGGTTCCCGGAGAGATCACAGCATGAGACCCTGTGGAGGGTACCTATCTTTCTCTTTCTCTCAAAAACAAAAAACATAACTTGGAAAGAACACAAAAATACAAAAAAAAAAAACAAAATCCAACAACAATATCGGGCCAGTCCTTGTATCACAGTGCTTAGGTACTGTGCACTGGGAGCCAAATCCCCCATGGCTGACCGCAGTTCAAAACCCAGTCCTGGTAGCTTAAAAAACACATCAGGCACATGTGCATGCTTGTCTCAAATCCTGACAAGATGGAAAAATGGATGAGAAAGCACTGTGGTGCAACCACACCACACTGTGGGTATATTCTCTCTCTGGCAAGTCCATGAACCCTCTGGCAATTAAAAATGTAATTTGGGACAACAGGCTTAAGCCAAACTTAACTGGGACAAAAGAGGTCACCCAACAACACATTCTCAGGTTGTGTAAAAACTGTTCACTCTCACCAAACAGTTGCAGACCCACCCTCCCTCCCTTCCTTCCTTCCTTCCTTCCTTCCTTCCTTCCTTCCTTCCTTCCTTCCTTTTTGGAGAGGTTTTTGCTATAGGGCACATGTGCTTACCAGGAAGACAGAGAGAGACAGAGAGACAGAAAGCAAGAAATCACCTCCCAGGGGGGATGGCCACGCCGCAATCCCTTCTCCTCCATTCTCCTCTAGGGATCTTAGGCATACATACACACACGCTGGGTCTAGGACACAAACCACGGTCAACTACAAAGGAGTCCAGTGGCGTAGCCATTACGCCACCTGCGGGTCCCAACTGTTTCTAAGAGAAGTTCATCACAATGAAGTTAGCAAGCGCAACCAACAGCAGATCTAAAAGACTAAGGACTTCACTTACTGGAATTGCCATACACAATACATAAGACCGTCATATATGGTGTGCAACAGCATTCCTTAAAATAGTACATATAATTAAATATTTAACATATGCAATTATATCATAGTTTTTTTCTCTCTCTCTTTTTTTTTTTTTTTAAGAGAGGTTTTCGCTATAGGGCATGTGCGCTTGCCAGAAAGACAGAGAGAGACAGAGCAACAGAAAGCGAGAAATCACCCCCAAGGGGGGATGGCCACGCTGCAATCCCTTCTCCTCCATTCTCCTCTCAGGATCTTGGGCACGCACACACAAGCACGCGGCATGAATTTAAGCCACCGGGTCCAGGACTCGAACCACGGTCGACTATATGGGAGTCCAGCGACATAGCCATTACGTTAACTGTTGGTCCCTATCATAGATTTTTTTTAAAAAACAGTAAAACATTTTGGGTTATCGGAAAAGTCAAGATGTATTTTTTCTGTTTTTCTATACAAAAATGCATCATTACTTGTCCAACGACCCCCCCCAAAATAAAGGAAAATGAGCCCCTCAAAAAATGTGAAGTCAGATCATTAAAGGAATCAAATAAAACCATTAACATATAAATATGTGCAAATGAAAACCACTAGTAATTCACACCAAGACTGTGATGATAAAAAAAAAAGACAATAACAAGTACTGATAAGGGTATGGAAAATTCTCTAGTGGGAGGGTAAAATAGCACAACTACTCTGGAAATTGGTCTGTAATTTCTTGAAAACTTAAACAGAGCCCCATGGCTGGGTGGAGGCATGGTTAGACTTGACTGATGGAGAAGTCTGGGCTGATGTTTCCAGGATCTCCCTGACTATGATGGGTGTGGGCACACGCCTACAGTCCAGGCTGGTTGAGACTGGGGTTGGATCATGGCGTGAATACTCTGCTGGAAGGACCTATTCTGCCTCAGTCTTTCATGAACGAATAAATTAAAAAAAAAAAGAATTATGATTCAACCTGGCAATTTTGTTCCTAGGTATATACCTAAGATAAATGAAAACATATGTCCACACAAAAACTTTTAAATGAGGGAGACCAGCAGTTGGCATAATGGCTATGTTGCTGGACTCCATGTAGTCAATCAACAGTGGTTCGAGTCCCAGACCTGGTGGCTTAAGCTCCCACCAGGTGCATGTGTGTGTGTGCCCAAGATCTCGAGAGGAGAATGGAGGAGAAGGGACTGTGGCATGACCATCCCCACTGGGGGGGGGGTGATTTCTTGCTTTCTGTCTGGCTTCCTCTGTCTTTCTGGCAAGCATGCATGCCCTATAGCAAAAACCTATTAAAAAAAAAAAAAACTTGTAAATGAATGTTCATGGCTGTGGCACTCACATTAGCCAACATTGCCATTAAAAAAATCCGAGTATCGGGACCAGCAGTTAGCATAATGGTTATGTCACTGGACTCCCATGTAGTCGACCACGGTTCGAGTCCCAGACCTGGTGGCTTAAACTCATGCCGGGCGTGTGTGCGTGTGCTCAAGATCCCGAGAGGAGAATGGGGGAGAAGAGACTGCAGCATGGCCAACCCCCCTGGGGGGTGATTTCTCACTTTCTGTCTCTGTCTTTCTGGCAAGTGCACGTGCCCTATAGGAAAAAACTCTCAAAAAAAAAAAAAAAAAAGAAAAGAAGAAAAAGAAAAAAATCCAATCTGAAGAGTGGTTAAAAAACATGATACATTCAGAAAATGACTGATTAGGCAGCCAGAAAAATGAATAAAGTACTAATATATGCTATGACATGGATGAACTCTGAAGATACCAAGCTAAGAAGCCAGACTGAAGATTATGACCTGTGTAACTGAATTTATATAAACAGTCCCAAACGGGCAAATCCATAAAGATGGAGCAGATCACTGGTTACCAGAAACCTGAGGAAGAGAGGAATGCGGGGCCGGGGGGTGAATGCTAACAGAGTTTCATTTTGAGATGATTTCAAGTTCTGAAATTAGACAGGGGTGATGGTTGTAAACTTGTGAATGTATTTTTTTTAAAGGTTTTTTGCTGTAGGGTGTGTGTGCTTATCAGAGATAGAGAGAAAAAGTGAGAAATCACCCCCCGAGGGGGATGGCTATGTCACAATTCCTTCTCCTTCATTTTCCTCTTGGGATTTTGGGCAGGCATACACACATGCATGAGTGTCAAGGTACCAGGCCCAGGACTTGAACCGTAGTCACCCATGTGGGAGTCCAGTGTCTTAACCATCACCTCACCTGTTGACTCCCATAAAATATGCTTTTAAAAAATACGTTCACAGCAGGACAAGCAGATGGCGTAATGGTTACGTTGCTAGACTTCCAGAGAGTTGACAGCAGTTCAAGTCCTGGACCTGGTGGCTTCAAACACATCAGTGAGGGGACCAGCAGTTAGCGTAATGGCTATGTTGCTGGACTCCCATGTAGTCGACCGTGGTTTGCGTCCCGGACCCAGTAGCTTAAAACTCACAATGGGCGCATGTATGTGCGTACCCAAGATCCCAAGAGGAGAATGGAGAAGGGATTGCGGCATGGCCATCCCCCCAGGGGGTGATTTCTCGCTTTCTGTCTCTCT